CCCTCCGAGCCCGGCGGTGGCGGAGGCACAGGAGGCGGGCGGGGTCGCGCGTGGCGCCGGGAGCGCGGGCTGCGGCGGGCAGCGTGCGAGGGCGGCGGCCGGCTCCTGAGCCGGCCCGGCTCCGGCCCGGCTCCCACCCGGCTCCCACCCGGCTCCCACCCGCCGTGGCGGCGGCGGGTCCCGGCCTCGGCTCTGCGCGCCCGCGCTCAGGCACCGCAGCCAACAAGTTCGATACGAGACTGACAGCTCGCTCGCCCATTCGTCACCCGCGCACCTGCATATGCATGAGGGGGCGGGCCCGCGCCGCGGGGTGGGGCCGGGAGGGGCTGGGGGGCTCCCCGGGGTTTTAAACGCGGCGAGGGTGCGGCCTGCGCGCGGGGCGGCTGGGCGCAGGGTTGCGCCCTCTCCCTCTCCAGGCCAAGCGGGTGCCTCGGTGGCCGAGTCCCGGCTGGGGTGGGGGCGGGGGGAGCGCTGAGGTCGCCGCCCCAGTTCCCTCCCATCAGTGCGCCACCGCCTCACTGCTCCTGGCCCCAGCGGAGATGCCGCCTGCCGAGCTAGCCAGGGGTCCGTCCCCCGATGCGCGCCCCTTTTCCCCCCGGGGCCCTCTGGCTCCGAGACCTCCTTTAGCTTCCATGCCGGCTGAAGGGGGCGCTGCTGCCCTCCGACGCCGGCCCTCCCCACCTCGAGGGCCGCGGGTCCAGCAGCCAGCTAACAAATGCTCCTTGGTGCAGACCATGTGCCCACCTCTTCGCTGGCGCAGGGTTCGCCAGGCCATGCCCTCGAGGAACGCACAGCCCAGAGGTCCATGCAGATGAAGGCCAGATGTGCACATCTGGAGGGCTGTCCCAAGAGGCTCAGCCATCACATCCTTGCCGTCTCTCTGGCGACCTCACTGCTTCTCAACAAGGTCAACACCAAGGGCTGCTTGCCTCCGACCCACCTGTCCTCCACTGGGCAGGGCCCCTTCGAGGGCCAGTGTTGCCTTGGGGGTTGGAAATCGAAGTACTGGCTGAGGGCTCCCAGACCATCCTCTCAGTAGCTGGGCTCCCCCCATCTGCCCCATCCTGAGCTTAGTGTGTGTAGTCAGTGCAGTCAGAATCTGAATCTTGAACCTGCCTGGCACCCTGCATAGGTAACTGATGCCCTGGGCAAGCTCCACACCAGTTCCCTGCTCCAAGGACCAGGCCTGGGGTCAGAGGGAGCCCTGAAGGGGTGGGCCAGGTTCCCAGCACCCCAAACTGATGGCTTTGCTCAAAGTCTGCACCCTACCCAATCCCCTGGGTAGTGTGAGTGGGGCAAGACAAGCCATACCAGGCTTCACAAGACACCCCCCAATAAAGCAGTTGGACTGTGTGCAGGGGTTCCAGTGGCTGCTTCCTGTAGGAGGGGATCCCTGTAAACAAATCCACTTCCAATGTGCCCTGGAGAGGGCGAGTCCCAAGGTGAGGGAGGCCCTGGGTATCCCTGCCAGGAACTCAGCCACGCAGTGAACAAGGTGGTCATTGCCCTTGGGCCCTCTTTATCCAGGGTGGATGGAGACTTAGGAGAGCAAAGTAGACCAGAGACCCTACAGATGGGGCAGGGGACAAAGCCAGGCAGCAGGAGCCTAATGTGCCCCCAGGGGTGGGCACGGCCTCCGGGTGAGGAGGGGGGTATGCACCAAGAACCTGGAGCGAAGGAGCCTGTGTGCCAAGGACACAGTGACTGAGACAGGCCTGTGGGGAGACAGGCTTCCTGCTAGGACCAACAGGAAGTCAGAGGGCCGCCGAGCTGCACAGGGAGGCACAGCGATTGTTTCAGGGAAGCACTGGCACAGGGCAGGTGGGGAGGGCCTGGTGTGCAGGGCCGAGGAGGGGATTCCAGTGTGAGTGGGACAGAGTCCAGGGCAGCCCCCAGCTCTCCCACTCGCAGCCAGCTCACACAGCTGGGTGTTGACACAGGTCCTGCTCAGGGCCATCACCACATACAAATCATGCGCCTGTGTAAGGGACCCTCCTCCTGTCTCCTGTGAAAGCTGGCCTGGCAGGGCACCACCCCTCCCGCCTCTTTCCCATGCCTTTGGGAATGAGACTTGGTCCTTGTGGCACAAGGGTCAGTTCCTGCCTCTGCTGAGGGGGCCACCCGCCCCTCACGTACCCTTCCCTGCCGGGCTCCTGGAAGCCATAGTCTGGACCAGATCTGTCCAGGGCCTACTCCAGGCCAGAAGGTGGCCACCCTGCTCACGGGGAGTAGCTAGGCATCAGAGGGGACCCTCCCTCCTGCAGTCCCCTCTGTAGCTCTCACAGCCAGAAAGGCCAGGGATGGCTGGACCTGTGGGGCTTTCCAGGACACCAGTGGGCACCACTCCCCCCACAGCTCCATGTTTGGCCTAGCCAGGGTCAGGGTGCAGGGATCCCCAGGCCCTCCTTTGCTGGGCTGGGCATCCTGCCTCTTCCACAAAGGCCCCTTCTTTACCTTGAAGCACCCTGGGCACAGCACCCCTCAGTCTTCTAGCTTTGCATTCCCTGCTGGGGCCCCTCATGTGCTGAGTGGGGCTTGGCTTGTGCTAGAAGAGGTGCAGAGGAGGGCAACTCAGCCTGACCAGGGGTGGCAGCCTGCAGGCCCCTCCTGTGGACCAGGCTGCCCAGATTGGGGCAGAGCTGGCTGGGCTCGAATGAGCTGTGCTTCCGCTGGTGTCCTGTGGTGCTAAATATAGCAGCCAGGGAGGGGGGTTTCCGGTTACAGCCCCCCCATGCCGGGAAATCAATGCCAGCTCCATTAGGCCCCGCCATGGTGCCTGCTGACCGCCCATCAGGCTGCGGAGCCAGTGGGGGCTGGACTGCACCAAGCCCAGGTGCCCTGTCCTTACCTGCCCCCACCCACCGCCCAGAGTCCTGTTCCACCCAGTGCCTGTCAGTGCTCCTCCGCAGCAGCAGGCAGCACCTGCAGGTCACCCCAGAATGCCTTGAGGGCCCCCAAGGTGGGCATCAGGCAGGATTCAGATGGAAGGAGGCAGGCTGGGTAGCCCCTGTCCTGGGAGTCTGTCCAGCCAGGGAGAAACTGGGGCTAAGGAGGACACCCTCTACTACCCCGCACAGCCCCTTGGACAGACACACCTGCCTAAGAGCCCCTCCCCACAGCTGTGTCCCTGCCTGGTGTGGCTCCCACAAGGCCCTGCCTAGGTCATGGCCAGCATTTGCATTCAGGTGGTGCTGCCCAGGGTGGGGTGTCCCTCCCTGGGCTAGGCCACCCAGAGGCCAGGAGCATTGTTCCGAGTTCCCAGGCTGCTGCCCAGGCCAGGCCAGCGTGAGGGCAGAGCCAGGTACTCTTAATGCTCTGACACACAGAGTGCCTGTGGGAGGGCAGGCAAGTGCCACCCCCACACCCGGTCCACCACCGGGGCTGCAGAGCTTCAGAGCAGGGAGTACTGACGGAACAAGCTACTGGTCCCCTGGCCCTGTCCCACATGCAGTGGGGGCAGCATTCCCAGAGCCAGGCTGCCCTGCCCAGGCAAGGGCCAACCAGGTAGCTACCCTCAGAAAGGGTCAGGCTTGACCCTGCAGAAGCCACCAATGCAGGCCCAGCAGGGGCTTGGCCTGGAAGCTGGATCCACACACCTGACCCCAACCAGGGCTCACACAGCTGGCTGTCCTCCTGTCACCCCAGGAACTCTGGACACTAGCACTCAAGGCTAGCAGGGCACTGGGGCTCGGGCCTTGGGCCGGGTTGCCTGTGCCAAGGACACTGCGGCCCTGGTGCCATCAGGGAGCGGCCTGCCTTCCCTGCTCATGCCCCATGGTCCAGTGAGGTCCACTCAGACCCTGGCCCGGGGGGAGGTGAAATTGCCCACCTAGCCAGGAGCAGAAGTATGTGCTGTGCAGATTCGGGGGCTGTCTCCACCATGTGCACACACTTACCAGGGGGCTGAGCCTTGAGGCTGTACTGCCCCTCCCTCCCGACTGGTCCGGACGGCCTCAGGCCAGCCTGTCCCCACCCCATCAGCCATCCACTGCCCCCATGCAGGCCACCACGGGCCGTCAGGGGCCCTCCCCAATCGCCAGCCCTCCCCTTCCCCTTCCACGCTGCCCAGGTCAGAGCTCAGCACGGTGCCATCAGCTAAGCTATGCAGCTTTATTGGTCCACAGAGCAGAGCCAGGCCTGGAGCAGCCTCAGTCCAGAGCCCAGCCCAGAGCCCCAGTCTCACTACAGACTGAGGCTGGGGGCCACCTGGCTGAGGAACCACGAGATGCCAAAGATGACACCAAGGGTCTTGGGGATGTCAGGGTCATCTGCAAAGGCCTGGGCGCCATCCAGGGGCAGGTGCACAACCTCGATGAGTTCACCCTCCTCTGCCAGGCCCCCGCCTGGCCCACCTCGCTGGGCATCTGTCACCTCCGCGTAGAACATGGTCTGGCTGGAGCCTGTCAATCCCACTCCAGACCTGTAGGGTGGGACGGGGCCCCCCGAGCCACGTGGTGGCCCCATCACTCCCTGTGTGACCCACCCTGACTAATGACCCACGCTGCGCTGCGCATGCCTTCTGTGATTAGCTGTTACACGCTGGGATTCAGGGTCCTGCTTGGCTGACTTGAGTTCATTCCAGATGGGCCAGCCCTAATCTACTGGGTGCTCAAGGGAGGCCGTTTCAAGGTCAGAGATGGAGGGCATCAGACAGTGCCCTGATGGCCTGAGGATGAAGCACCTGGTCAGAGCTCAGCACGGTGCCTCCAGCTAAGCTCTGCAGCTTTATTGGTCCACAGGGCAGGGCCAGGGCCTGCAGGCAGACTCAGAGCTGCGAATGGTCCCCAGCTGACAGCCAATGAGGAAATGAGGCCTCTGTCCCATGGGCACAAGAGCCGAGTTCCACAGCCACTGCATGAACTGAGAAGAGGACCCCGGGCAGATGGGCTTCCAATATCCTGGAGGCCCTGACTGCAGCCTGGTGAGACCCTGGGGAGAACACCGAGCCCGCTGCAGACTCCAGATCCACAGACACCAGAAGGCAGAGCAGGCACTGCCTGAGCCCTTCCCACGCAGGCTGCTCTGCAGCTTGTTCCCTGTGCCCACTGCCCCACCCGCCCCTGCCCAGTGGACCCCAATGCAGGCGCCCACTGTGGGAAGCAGGTCACCTTGGGACTGTGAATGCCAGGAGGGCCAGGCCATGGGATGGGCTAGCTGCATGGCAGCATGGCATGAAGTGGCAGCTGGGCCCCAGGACTGGCTCACTGGCCCCAGCTGCAGAGGGTGAGAAAGGGTCCCTCCTTTGGCAGGCAGTGGCCCAAACTGGCAATGGATAGTAACAGAAAGGGGAGCATGAGGCAGCAGGAGCAGAAAGGGACCTGTCCTGAGGGGTACAGCGTGAGAGGCCTCAGTCATGCCTGACAGAGCGGAGCAGATATGGGTGGCACCCAGGCCGCCCCTGCTGCCTCCTGGCTCCTCTCTCCACATGCCCGCCAGTGCCATCGACAGGGAGCCCCCGGCTGCTATGGTGGACTCTGCTTCCTGTCTCGCCTGTGAGACTCAGCGATGGCTGCCTGTGCAGGTGCCCACTCATCTCCTCCAGGAGCCCCTGCCTACCCCTCCCCGTGGCCCAAGCCCTAGTTCAGGACCTCAGATGGGTGATCAGGAAACCTGCAAATAAGCCAGGCCTGTCCTTGCCCTCCTCGTGCCCAGCCCTTGGGCCTGGAAACTTGTCCTCAGGGGAGCCCCCAGGCACTCCCAGTGAGGACCCGGGGAGGCTGGGGCAAGACAGCCCAGGCCCAACAAGGGTAAAAGTGCCTCTGGCCTTGGAAAGGTTGGGCAGCCCGGTGCTCAGCTTGGTTAGGGGAAGCCCTGAAAGGCCTCCGCTGGCCACTGCAATGTCCCCAGGTCAGGGCATGGCTTCTCCCCAGCATCCTGTTCTGAGAGGGTGGACCCAGTTGGTGGGCCCCGCAGAGGCCAAGTGGGGTCACCTGGGCCTTGGTGGGGGCAGGGACCAGGCTAGGCTGTCCCCATGCCTTTCCTGAGGACAGCACTGTGACTCACCCCACCCCCAGCGCCCAGTGCTTAATCCCACAGGAAGTGGAGGCATCTGTCAGCAGCAGCTGCCACCGAGCTGGGCCCCACAGACCAGCTGCAGGGTGGGGACACAGGCGAGTATCCCCAGGAGAAGCCCAGGACCTGGGTTCCAGCCTGGCCTGCTATCTGAGGCAGCTCAGGCTCACCCTCCTTGTGCCATGTTGAAAGACAAGGAGAGGGGCATCCTGCTTGTGCCTCCAGAGACGGGGCATTCATTCCCACCCCACCTGTCCCACCCTGGGCCACCGCTCACCTGTATGTGGCCACCCGCCGCAGATCAGAGGGGGCCAGGCAATAGCCACACTCCTCCCAGGCCTCCTTGCAGGCTACCTGCTCCAGGGAAAGCCCAGGCTGGTCCACGAGGCCGGCGCACAGCTCCACTGTCACCCCTGCAGAGCCAGGTAGGGCTGGTAGCAGCTCCAGGGGACCATCCTGGGCCACGGCCACCAGAGACCCTGGAAAGCAGCGTTCCACTTCGCTCGAATACACAGCTGGATGGGGAACATGGCCGTGTGGTGGTCACCTCCTCGAGACCTGCTCAGAGCCACATACCTCACCAGGCTGTTTCCCCTGGGGACCCTCTCCACATTCACTTTCAGACCCTTGGCCCCCCACACCCCACCTGAGGGCCTCACCTGGCCAGAATTGCCTCACCAACACCAGGCTCCTCTGCGAAGAGTTGAACAGGAGGATGGCCACACTGTGGGGCGGGGGCTCAGTAGGGGCCCTATTTCCAACTTGCTCCCCCCACCTCCCCCCAGGAAGGTCCAGCCCTCACTCAGACAGGGAGGACGGGGCCAGGCAGGGCCAGAGCTGGCGAGGGACGAAGCCAGGCTGGGCCCCGCGGCTATTGTGTTCCAGAAAGTGGGGGTGGGTGGTGAGCAGGCAGCTGACAGGCACTTGCCCCTGATGGCCAGGTGCCCACAGCCACACCCTGATGCCAAGGGCAAGTACCCCAGGGCGGCCCCTTGAGCCTCACAGCGGGGCAGCTGTCAGGCCTTAGCCTGACCTCTTGAGACAGGAAAACCAGAGGCTGGGCTGGAGAGGGGAAGAGCAAAGGCCATGAAGGAGCAGAAACAGGGCAGAAGCGGGGCCCATGCCTCAGGCTCCAGGGTCCCCATGGGTCCCAGCAGCCAGGGCAGGCCCTCACCTGTCATGCGTCTTCATGAAGTCCCAGGACTTCTGGGTGCCATTCTGAAAGAGGCAGAGTGGCAGTCAGCAAGGCACAGTATTGCCAGCATGGTGGAGGCCACACAGACCCGCTGCCCAACAGGAGCTCCCCTCAGGGGCTGGAGCCAGGGCCTGGGCAGGTCAGGGGCTGGGCATGCAGGCCAAGGTGGACCCAAAGGGGAGGCAGAGAACCTAGGCAAGGGCAGCAAGGGCCCGTGAGCATGGGGGCTGCACAGAGATGCATGGTGTCACCAAGTATGGGAGAGGCCATGGAGGGCACAGGAAGGGGTAGCACAGTGCCAGCCTCACTGGCAGTCTAGGGAGGGTCCCAAGTGGCAAAACCCAACTCAGGTGCTCACCACTAGAACACACATGGGCCCTGGACGAGGGACACAGGCAGGCAGGAGGGATCGGCCAGCCTCCTGAGTGGCAGCAGCACCAGGGGCAGCTGGCCTGGTTCACACCGCAGGGTTGGTCAATCCACAGTCATGGCCAGGGCTGTCCCCACACTTTCTGTGGTTGCATTCCCAGTGTCCAAGAGCACTCAGTGACATGAGCTGGGACAGGGCTTGGGCCCATGGAGGACCCAGGCTGACAGCAACAAGCTCTAACTGTGAGGAGCCAGCACCCTGCTGGCTGGATACCATGGAGCAGAACAGGCTCTACCTGGGCTGAAGGCAGTGGTCACATCTCCCAGGGGTCTGAGCAGATGGCACTGGACCTGGACACTGCCATCGCACCCAACCCAGTCAACATGGCCCACCTGCCACTCAGGAACAGCCCCTGAGGACTTCCTGGAGGCTTTGCTGAGTGGTGAAGGGGCTCCCAGCAGGAACCTGGGGGTGAGGCCCAGAGGACATTGGCCTGAGCGTGGCCTGAGGCAGAGGCGTCCTAGTTTCCAAGGTGGGGGCAATGGCCTGCCAGGTCCAGCTGTCTGAGAGGCCGTTGCAACACCACTCAGAGAAGCAGAGGCGAGCCTGGGCCTGCCTGCTGACTTACCACCTGGGGGGCTGCCACCCACTGGGCGACTCCAGGGGAGGCCCTTGGGAAGTCTACGTAGGCTGGGCTGCCCTAGGTCACACGGCTGCTCAGGTAGGACTCAGGGACCCTCCCAGCTCAAGATCAAAACCTTGTTAGGCTCAGGGAGAGGCCCTGGGAGGCAGGGACAGGCCAGAGTGCCCCTGCCCCATGCTGCTCAGGGCCACCAGGGTCCCCTCCACCTACCCCGAATGCCCGGGACCAGGCCTCTCCAGACCAGGTACTACAAGCAGCCAAGGGGTGCAGCTGCACCCCCACCCCAGTGGTAAAGCTTGTCCAGCCCAGCGTCCTGGGCCCCCCAGGCCATGTCCACACCCGCCCCACTCAGCATAGCTCCGGTCATCAGCACTCTCTGTGGAAATGTGCCAGTGGGCTGCCCACCACAGCTGCAAAGCCAACTGGGAGGCAGAGGGAGCAGCAGTCCCAGCCCCACAGGTCTCTGCCTGGCTCACCTGCCCACCTGCCCACCTGCCCACCAGTGGGCAGGGAAGCCACAGTCAGCCATCCCATGCCACCGGCTTCCTGGCCCTGGCCCAGGCCCAGCAATACAGAAAATGGCAGCAACCCGCATCCCCACGCTGTCCCCCAGCTGGTCCCGTCCACTCCTCCAGGCCCGCACGGCCCTCAGTGCCTATTCGCCTGGGCTCACACTGCCCTCGATGGCCCATCCTCCGCAGCAAGCAGTAGGAGCACCACGGGAGGGGAGGCAGGCAGAGGGGCCTCTCCACTGAGAGTCTGGAGGTGATGGTCAGCGATGGGTTCGTGCAAGGGCAGACAGGGGCGCCAGAGCCTGGACTCCCTGGGGTTCCGGGGGATGTGCTGTGGAAGCAGGAAGGAGGCTCTTCTGACGGGCCCGCAGGAAGCAGCTGCAGGCCATGAGCTGGCATGAACAGGGTGGCCAGGCCGGGGACAGGTAGGGAGGTGCGTGACCAGGGCTGGACAGGGCAGGAAGAACAAGTATTTCTGTGAGCCTACTGGGTACCCAGCGCTGAGTACAGGAGCCATGGCCTCGCTGTCCGGCAGCAGCCGTGGGAGGCGGGAGGACGGCACTGGGCGGTGACGATGCCTCCCGAGAGGATCCCTCGGAGGAACCCCACCTTGGGAGCCTCCCTCTCCCCCTCCTCCCTCCGCTACCCAACCGTCTCCGCCAAGTCTTGGAAGGAAGGCCACCACCTCTGAGAAGGAAGCCTTCGCTGACCCACAAAGCAACCAATGAGTCCAGACGCAAAGGAGGAATGGAGTGGGCTGGGAAAATAAGACCAGCGATGCTCCCTGAAGGGACCAGCGGCCTCCTCCAATCTCTATCCCCCCATCACTGTGTCTGGGAATTCGGCCAGGTTACCGAGGCGGGCTAGGGCCTCAGCGGGGCTCGGAGGCGCCGGATGGGCGTGGCCTCTAGGGGCGGGGAGAGCTCGAGGGGCAGGGCGAAAGAGCAAGAGTGGCGGGGCGGGCGCTTGTGGGGCGGGGCCAGTAAGGGCGGGGCAAGATCACTGGGCGGGGCTCCGCAGCAACAGGGGACGAGGCGGCGGGTCAGCCAGCCACTCACCTGACGGTAGTGCAGCCGGAGCGGCCGCAGGTAGACGGAACCAGCGCAGGGGCCGACAGCCGAGCCCTCCAAGCATTCCATGGTGGCGTGAGGCGGCCCAGCAGCAGCTGGCTGCGCATGCGTGACCGCGGTCTGGGCATGCGTGATGCTCAAGGGGCGGAGCGCAGGTGGAGCTCCAGGGAGTTGGGCCCAAGTGAGCCGGCCGGGTCCTGTGGGGCTCGCAAAGCCTCTGCGCGGAGATCCTACCGGCCAGGGTGGTGGGGAGCGCAGTGCGGTGCAGGCGTCTGTGCCAGTCAGTTGGTATCGCCCTGCTGCCCTCGGTCCTCCAGGTGGGGAGGAGCCCACCAACCCGCGTGGGAGAAGCCGCCCTCCCTCCCGGCCGCCACAGCTGCTGCTCTGCCTGTGACCTGGAGTGACCTTCCTGCTCTGTAACAGCGCCCCAGAGCTTGCTGACCGGAAGGCCGTGGTGAGCGTCTCGTTCATCTGCTGGTGGCCGGCTCAGCCCGGCCGCCCCGCTGGGTGTCGGTGTTGGGACAGTGGCTGCTGGGCTAAGCCAGGTGGGCACTCAGGACGGCTCTGCTCCCTGTCTGGTCTGCCGGTGGACGCTGGAGCAGTGGTGCTGGCCTCCTTGCTGCACATGGTCTTCTTGCAACTACTTTGGGCCATGTGGGGGCTCACGGGTTCTCCCCCCAGCCTACATCCCCTGGCCAAACCGTGCTGCCCGACTTAGGGCCCAGCCCTGGATGTCACGTAACAGGTCCGGTAGGTCAGAAGCTTAGTCCTTTGGAGAGGCAGAACCAATATAATGAAAATAACTAACTATACTTCCAAAACTTTTATATGGGTGTAATGCAATCTCAGTCAAAATACCAATAGCATACCTCACAGAACTTACAGAAAACAATCCTAAAATTCATTTGGAACCAGAAGAGACCAAAAATAGCAAAAGCAATTCTAGGCAACAAAGACAAGGCAGGGGGCGGCACAATCTCCTACTTGAAATTATACTGCAAAGCTACTGTGATAAAAGCAGCATGGTACTGGCAAAAAAAAACCCAACCAGACCAGAGGATCAATGGAACAGAATAGAAGATGCAGAAACAACTCCAACCACATTCAGCCACCTCATCTTTGAAAGAGGGGGCCGTGCCTGCCTCACAAGTGCAAAGTTGTGAGTTCAATCCCTGGTACAAAGAAAAAAAGGGCTGGGGATTTAGCTCAGTGGTGCTGCCACCTCACTCGAAAGCGCAAGGTTCCAAGTTTGATCCCCGGTACCAAAAAAAAAAAGGGGTGGGGGTGGGGCACAAACTTCATTGGAAGAAAGCCACTTTAATAAATGGTGCTGGGAAAACCGGCTTTCCACATGCCAAAGATTAAACCTAGACCCATAATTTTCACCATGCACTAATCTAAAGTGGAACTGGATCAGAGATCTAAATATTAAAACAGAAACACTTAATCTGCTGGAAGATAAAATAGGTAAAACTCTTGAAGATGCAGGTGTAGGCAAAGACTATGAACAAAACCCTAATCGAACAGAAACATTACAAAGAATCAAACTGGAATCTCATCATATTAAAAAGCTTTTGCATAGCAAAAGAAACCACCAACAGGGTGAAGAGATAATGAACTGTGGGAAAAAAAATTTAGCAGCTGTTCCTCAAAGGACTAATATCTAGAATATATATAGAATTCAAAAAAAAATCAGCGCCCCCCCCCCAATTTAAGGACCCAACCCAAAAATGGGCATCTGAAATTAATAGACATGTCTCAGATGAAGAAGTAACAGCAAATAAATACATTAAAAAATGTTCAGCATCACTGGTCATTTGAGAAATGCAAATTAAAACAACTCTGAGATTCTATCTCACTCCAGAAAGAATGACTGTTACCAAGAAATCGACCAAAAACAAATGCTGGTGGGGCTGTGGGGGAAAAGAAACCCTTCGCCACTGTCAGTGGCAGTATGAAATGGTACAACCACTATGGAAATCAGGATGGAGATTCCTCAAAAAACTAAAACTGGGGCCAGGGATTTAGCTCAGTGGTGCTGCGCCTGCCTTGCAAGTGCAAGGTCCTGAATTCAATCCCTGGCACTGCCAAAAAAATTTTAAAAAAACAACTAAAACTGGAGGTTCCATTTGACCCAGCTATTCCCCTTCTTGGTATCTTCCTAGAAAAGCATCACACCACAGTGATATATGCATACCCATGTTTATAGCAGCACGGTTTGTAATAGCTAAATCCTGGAAACAGCCCAGATTTCCATCAGTGGATGAATGAATAAAGAAAGTATGGTATAGGGCCAGAGATTTAGCTCACTAGTTCTGCGGCCTGCCTCACAAGCACAAGGTCCCGAGTTCAATCCTCAGTAGCAAAAACAAAAACAAGAAAGTATGGTGTTAGCCAGGCATGGTGGCACACACCAGTAATCCCAGCACTCAGGAGGCTGAGGCAGGAGGATTGCCAGGAGTTCGAGGCCAGCCTCAACTACATTGTGAGACCCTGTATCAAAAAAAAAAAAGAAAAGAAAAGGAAAAAATGGTGTTTATATAGAGTGGAGCACTACTTCACCCTAAAGAAGGGTAAAGTTAAGGCAGTTTTAGATAAATGGAAGCACCTTGAGACCATACTTTTTAAGTGAAATAAATCAGACACATATGTTTAAATATTGCTTGTTTCTCTTGTGTGAGAAACCGAAAGCATAAATAAAGGCCAAAATGGATGACAGATACTGGGAAGTCGGAAGAAAATGTTCAAATGGGAAGGGGAACAAGGGAGGGAGGAGTGAAGGAAAGGAAAGGAAAAAACAAACAAGAGAATAGAAAGAAGTGGAAACAAAGCTTTTGTAAATAAGTGGGGAAGAAGAGTTAAAAGGAGGGGAGAGGAATGGGGGGAGAATCAAGATATACTATGCACAGGCACAGATTCCCTACGATGAGTGTGATCATTATGTATATCAAAAGAGTACCAATAAAGTCAGTTTTAAAAAAAGAAGAGCCGTCTGCCTTGCAAGCACAAGGTCTGAGTTCAATCCCCTGTACCAAAAAAACGAAAGTGAAAAAAAAAGAAACTAGGCAGGGATATAGCTCAGCGGTGCCAAATCTCCTGGCAAGCAGAAGGTCCTGAGTTCCATCCCCAGTAATTAAAAAAAAAATTAAATTAAAAAGAAGAAAGTAAGTCCTGAGCTACCACAGCATCAAGGCAGGGGACGTCACAAGTTGGGACACATGATTCGCACACCCGCTTCATCAGAGACACTGCCACTCCCAGGAACTGTAGGCGACTGTGCTTCCTGGCTTTGACCTGGCCACCCAGTGGCCAGAGAAACCACCCGCCCCACCCAGCAGGCAGGCGGGCCTCTTCCTCCTGTACCTGGGGCTACCTTTGAGGTCCCTGCCTGCCTGCCTGTGGCTGTGTGCACCATGAGGACAAGTCAGCTTTCAACAATAGCAGCAGCTCAGGCAGAGGGGGCCCCCTGTTCCAGCCACCCGCTCTTGTGCCCACCTGACTCTGCCATCCCCACAACAGCGTCTGGAAGAAGTCAGCACTCCACTGCACCTGTCTTCCTCTTGAAGGAAGGAGCTTGTCCTACTAGGACAAGCCCAGGTGGCCTCCTTGTGGCTTAAAGGGGCACTGGGGAAAGCTCAACTCTGGGGGCCGGGGACTTAGCTCAGTGGCACCAAACCTGCCTCACAAGCACAAGGTCCTGAGTTCCATCCCTGGTACGGGGCCGTGGCTGGGGCCCTGGTGGGGAGCAGGCTCTGCTGTTGTTCAGAGTGGTGGCTATGCACTTGAATCCCTTGGTCCCCCAGGAGTGATAGGGCAAGGGGACTCCATGGGGCCTGGTGGCCTGAGCCAAGAGGACTCTGAGAAGCCACCTCTGGCTTTGGCTGGGGCGGGGTGCTTCAGAGACCCTGTTGACTTCAAGGACTGAGACAGCACGTGGCGGGGACAGAAGAACCTGTCAGTCCGCTTCGGCTGCTGGGTGCAAAACAACTCTCCACAGACCCTGGGCTAAAGCCTCACCATCCCATGGGGCAGGACCCCAACACAGCCCTGGGCCCCAGTCACAGTGTTAGCAGGACTGCTCCCCTCTGGAGCTCAGGGAGGGGCCGCCCTCACCTTCTCAGCTTCTAGGGTGCCCCACTTCTGGTGTGTCCCCTCCCTGTCTTCAAAGTGGCCGTGTCTGCTCTCTGATGGCTTCTGTCCCCTCAGCTTCTCCGCTGCCGTCCTGCCTCCTCAGGACACCTAGGATACACTTAGGACCCCTGAGAGCCCTAGGTTGTCTCCAATCTCAGGGTCTTTGCCATGTGAAGTCCCAGACCCACAGGTTACAGGACTAAGGATGGGAACACCCAGTAAGCACACAACAGGAGGTGGCACCACAGCCAGGACAAGGCCCGGTGTCCTGAGGGTCTGGGGGCAGGGAAGAGCTTCCTTTCTCTGTAAGGGGTGGGGCAAGGGCTGGAGGAAGGGCGTTCGTGTGCTCTGGTGAACCAGGCCCTTGGTGGCACTGGGCTGGAGGACGCTTTTGGGCAGTGTCCAGTGACCTACACAGCAGAGGTGCACACTGGGTTCCTCCAAGGCTCTGGTTTGCAGTGGGGAGAGAGCAGGCTGTGTCTGGAGCAGTACGCAAAGGGCTGCCAACATGAGGACCCTGGGGAGACAGAAAGTCAGGGGCTGGTTGACCAAGTGACTCTAGGGACGCAGTGCCCTCAATGTGGGCCTCTGCCGGGGCGCTGCTCTGCAGTCCTGGCTTTGAGAAGCCCAGCCCCCGCTCCGTGTGCCTGGTGTGTGAGGCAGACACCCCACAGCAGCATCCTCAGCCACCCCCAGGGCCTTCCTGGTGCCACACTGGAGTCCTGATGGCTGAGTCTGGTGCAGCCACCTGCGGACTCCTCCCTCCACAGGGCCCTGCAGACCCCACAGCTTCTACTTGAGGCCTGGAGCCCATCTGCCAGGGCTGTCCAGGGGTGTTTGGAGGACATGGGCCCCGTAACAGGGATGGCAGTGGGCTGGGTAGGCTGGATGAAGGAGAGAGAAACCCTCACCTCCAGCACTGGCAGGGTTACTGTGCAGGGGCTGCTTCCACTCAGCACAACCCCCTTTTGAGTCAGGGTCTCGCTATGTAGTCCAGGCTGGCCTTGCACTTATTATGAAGCCCAGGCTGGCCTCAAACTCAATCCTCCTGCCTCTGCCTCCCAAGTGCTGGGGTTGCAGGCATGCGCCACCACGCCCAACTCACTCAGCCCTTCTGAGGCTCCAGGTGGCACTTGGTGCCGTCCAGTGTGCTGAGAAGCGGTTGTTCTCTGCTGCTATCTGCGTCGTGGCTGCCTCACTGTTCTTTCTGAGAAAGGAGCTTGAGGTGCAAGCTAAAGTAGGAGGTGACATCTAGGATCGGGAGCGCAGATGGCAGAGCCGCCTCAAGTGGATAGCAGCGAGGTGCAGAGAAGTGTTTTATGCTTCTGTCTACTCCTATGTATGTCTGAAATTTTTTCTGAACAGATTTTCGAAAGAGACTTGAGGAGCTGGAGGAGGGGGGGGGCATCTCCGTCACTCCTGTGGCTTTGGCCACCAAGGGATAGAGACTCCAGAGACAGAGAGTTCACGAGCACAGACACCCTGAGGAACATGGTGTCCTGACACTTACTGCACCACTGCAGGAAGACCTGGCTGGATCCAACACGAGTGAATTTGAAGGACACGAGAGAACTGGGGTGCCTCCCGGAGCTCCTGGCCTGAGCCACTGGGAGGGGGCACCTCAGCAAGGACAGATGGGGTGGAGGCATGGGCTTGTTTGTAGGGACTGACTGAGGTGTCTTGGGGAACACTGGATATCTATATCCAGAGGAGTAAAGTTAGATCTTGCCAGACACCAAACACAAAATTAACTCAGAGCACATCAAAGATCCAGCGTAAGAGCTAAGCTGTAAAGCTTAGAAGAAAACATAGGCAAAAGCTTTGTGACATTGGATTTGGCAGTGATTTTTTGTATATGACACCAAAAACACAGACAACTAAAGAAAAAAGACACCAACTAGACTTCATCCGATTTAAAGCTTCCATACAGCAAAAGAATGAAGCATCTGTGGACAGTGAATGGATGAAAAAGGTGATCTGCCCATCCATGGAGAGTACTCAGCCTGAAAAAGGAAGAAAACTGCCAGGTATGGCGTCCTGAGCATGCACATCTATCACACCAGGTACTCAAGAAGCCGACGCAGGAGAACTGAAGTTCACGTCTGGCCTGGGCAACATCTCAAGACCCTGTCTCAAAAACCAAATGAAAAAGGATTTTGCCCTGTTACAAGGTGATGAAGATAGAGGATGTCACAGGGAGTGGAAGAAACCTGTCGCAGAAGGGCAGAGGCTGACACCTGCACTCGCAGGGGGTCCCTGGGGTCAGGTCTGCGGAGAGCGCGTGAACCCAGTGAGGGGTGTGCAGTGGGGCTTATGTATGGGCAGTCTCTTGTGGGATGGTGGACCTCACAGAGGTGGGCGATGTTGATGGTTTCATGATGAGAGTGTACCAGTGCCATGGAACTGTTCACTTAAAGAGGATCCTGATGGCAGATGGTTTTGCATAATTCAGTGTAATAAAAGAACACAAGAACGCTTGCCAGGGTTGACTCTGGCTGAGGAGCCTTGCTTTTCATTGTGGACCACTTGATACTGCTGTAATTTTGCCATGGCAAACACTACTCTTTTGATGTCATGTTTTTGGTTTTTGAGACAGGGACTCCTTACAAGCCCAGGCTGGCCTCAAAGTTGTAATCCTCCTGTTTCAGCCTCCCAAGTACAGGGATCACAGGCGTGTACCACCACACCATACATACTCTCAATTTTTTAAAAACCTTTTAAAATGCTCAAATGGTAAGTTTCATGTAATATCTACTTTACTATAATTTAAAAATTGAGGCAAATGTGAGGCAGAAAGTATCTGCACATGGAAGGGCGCATTGTACAGTCAGATGCAAGCACAGGCCCGAGAAGGGACAGGGACAGACCTGGCCATGGGCTGCAGAGGGGAGCAGGAAAGCTAGGGGATCCCACAGGCAGAGCCCAGGGAGATGGGGAGCCTGAGGCATGCGCTGCCTCACACCTGGGAGGGCAGAGCCTTTGCCACAACCACACCATCTCCTGGCCCTGGGCCCTTCCCATGGGAGGCCTGGGCCTCTGACCTGAGGGTCCCTCAGACTCCCTCTCCCAGGCATCTGCCCTCCTCTGGGGAGCGTGAGCAGGATGCTGGGCTCCTCTGTTGCGGACTTCCTGGTGTGCTCTGTGGGAACCCGAGACCCCGGGTTGGGTCGAGCAGTTCACTCTTCACCCCCACTCCAGACTTCCAGGTCTCAGGTGGGCTCACACCTGCACTGTAGGCAAGTCCTGCCTGCACCCTCCTGTGCCACTGCGCTCTCCGCCCTTGGGCCCCCCTCCCAGTCCTGGGCACCAATAGCAGATACACTGTTCCCCACCCAGGCCCAGGTGAAGATGGTGGCATGCCCAGGCTCCCAGCAGCCTGGAGAGTGGGGAGAGAGGGGACTCCCACCTGGTCCACTTGGCCATCCTGCATTGTGCTAAGGCCTGGGGTGCCAGCTGTATGACTGACCCCTGGTAGGCCTGTCCAGGTTGCCTGGTACTTGTCACTCACTGCAGGGCAGGACCTCCACACTCTGACCACATCCCCAGTGGGGCACGATGGTCATGAAAGGGTTGTGTGCCCTTCACCACATGGGCAGGCCTGCTCCCAGCTGTGGTAGCGTCTCCCCAGGCCAGGCCTGGGGTCTGCAGGCCTTGCTGGGGCTGGGAGTGGGCCCAGGGCAGCCATGGGCCACCAGTGGGTATGACCCTGCCCGGGCAAGACTGGGAACCTCAACCCTGGCCTCACCAGGCTCCTGGTGCGCACCTGCTGGTAGCTGTGCTGGTGTCAACAGGGCTGGTAGCTGCACCAGACCCACATTCCTCACTTCCAGGCGCCCCTGGGTCTCCAGGGAAAGCAGTTCAGTGCAAGGCCAGTGCACAGAGGAGCCCACCAGGAAGGCACTGGCCGGGAACAATGCCTTCGTGTGACCGACTTTCCCTGTGTGGGAGAAAATAGAGTAGAGCAGAATGGCAGTTTCCTGCGTTTGTGCCTGTGCCTGGGGGTGACTCACGCAGACCTCCTGCAGAGCTGGTCCTGTGAGCCTGGCATCCCTGGGGCAGCCTGCCCTCCTTGGTGTCAGCTCCCACCCATGCCTGAGCATGGGTGTCCTGGGCCGGCTGATAGCACGGGGCTTCCTGGAGGAGGAGGCCCAGGGCCAACTGGTGACATTTGTGCAGAGCAGTGGCCAGAGCTTCCCCGGGGACAGAAAGTCCCTCTCTCCTGAGTAGCACAGTTCCTTGGACAGCCAGAACCCTGGTGAAGGCAGGAGAGAAAGGGCCACAAGAAGGGATCTAAGTTTCCCTGGACATGAGGCAGGGAGGTGACAGCGATGACCGCCACACAGGACTGCAGCCAGCCACATAGGCACCTGTGGGATGTGGTCCCAGGGACCCCTGACCTGCACGAGGGGACAGTCCCTCCCCGTTAAGGGGTCTTGAGGGCCCCACAGGCTCCATAAGTAGGAGGACAGAGCCTGACACCCACACCCCACTTACGGGGAAGAGGGTGTTGCCAGCCAGGACAGACCTTCAGTGCTCCCAGCTGCAGCTGTGTCCACAGGTGGCAGTGATGTCCCCCACCCCTCGGTGTGTACTAGGACACGGCCCAACTCTGACTCCTTTCTCAAGAACATCACAGTCCTATGCAGAAGAGACAGAGGAGCAGGGCAAGCCTAGGACACAGGGTGAGGGGCCTGGAAAGGAGAGGAGGAAGGGGGGGGAGCAGCAGCATTCCCTGGAGGCACCGCGGGGTCTGAGCAGAGCCCCATCACAGTGGCCACATGGAGCTCGGCTCTTGATCTTGACCTCTGTGAGCAGGATGGGGGTGGGGAGTCCCTCCAGGAAGGGAGAAAGGAGGAGCTGTGGCCAGAGCCTTGGGGCAGGTGAGGGAGGAGGGTGGGCCGCCAGAGCTGGACAGAGAGGTGAAGGTAGTGGGCTGGGTTGTGACTGGGCTGCCTTGTGGGTGGCACAAATCCCTTGGCCCCAGGGAGGACCCACCGGTTGAAACAGTGAACCAGGAAGACGGTGGACAAGGGGAAGGGATCAGATCTTGCTGAGCCTCACTGGGCTGTCAGGAGGAACCAGTGGAAGCCTCAGGCCCACTCTGTCCCTTCCTGTAACCCCGTCCCAGGCCCCTCTCTGGCTCGCCTCTCATGGGCTCTGCTGTGGGAGCCTGGGCAGGAGAAAGAGGTCACATCTGTACAGCTCCTGGTGTCCTTGGCAGTGGTAGGGGCAGCAACAGTGGGACAGGCACAGTGGCAGCGGTGGCAGTAGTGACGTGGCCTGTTCAACAGTCCAGCATAGGGTACACAGCAACTGTGGGTCTGGGTAGTGGCTAGCCTTGGCAGTCCAGCCACACGTCACTTCTGGGTTGCCTGGCTGTCCCCTGCCAGCTTCACCCACACGTGCAAACCCTCGGTGACCAACTCCTCGAACAGGGTCCTGTGAGGCCCTGTGACACTCTGCTTCCCACCAGGGAGGGCTGTCAGGCAGAAGGCACCAGGGCATGTGACATCCTGCCCTGCCGCTGGGTGGCCTTGGGTGCCAGGGTGAGATGCCTCGGGCCATCCCCTCTCCCATGGGTTCTACAGGCCCCTCCAAGCTGTGGGCGAGGATCATCCGAGACCGCCAGAGTGCTGGGCTGGGGTGGCCGCGGCCAGGTGTGGCCAGGAGGTGGCCTGTCCTTGGCGGGCAGTAGGTGAGAACACAAGACGCCTCCCTCTCTGCCCCAGCCCGCGGGCTGCTCCTCCGTAAGCAGCGGGAGCAGGTGTTGTCTGGCAGGGTCAGGATGGAGAGGAGCCCGCGGGACGCCCCTGTCCCTCCTCCAGCTCGCGATCTCATGATCGCAGCCCCACTGTTGCCTCCCTGGGAGAGGACATCCCGGCCATCTCCCCGCCAGCAGCCACGGCCGAGAGAGCCAGGTCAGGACCGGGCCGGGGTGGCCTCCGCGCCGGGGTTTCCGGTGCCCGACCCCGCGCGGTCTGCAGGAAGCGGCCGCCCTCGAACAAAGAGGCCGGTGGACAATGGCCATTGAATTAGCCGGGGCGCTCATGCGGGCACGGCCCCAGCTGCCCGCGCTGATAAGCCCTGCCCGCGCGCCCGCGCCCCCGCTCCCGCACGCACGCCGGCCCGAACTGTGGAGTCCTCGGTGGCGCCCCAGAGGCTGGCGACCAATTGGGGTCCGGCGCGCCCCCTGTTGCGGGCCAACCCGGGGAGCGCAGCAAGAACTGGCACAGCTCCCGGCCGGACTCCGACCCCGCTGCGCGCGCGACCCGCTCGGGAGTTGGCGGGAGCCCGCGCCTGGTGAGGGCAGGACACTAGCTGCTTCTCCCTACCTGCGTGAGCTGCAGCCCGCCTCGGTGCAGGGCCTGTCAGCCCCTGCGGCGCCGCCCTCGCGCTGCCTGGGTGCAGCGGCCACTCGCCTGTACGCCGGGGCCGTCTGGGAGGCCGGCCCTGCTGAGGCCGCGGCCAGCGTCTCTTGCGCTGGACCGGGAGGGTGGGCCTGCGTCCCATGGGACCCGCAGGCTCAGCACAGGACGCAGAGCTGTAATCTGGGCGTGTGAGGAGGATTCCTGGAGGAGGATTAAGAGCCATGGCGGAGGGGCAAGCACTAGCAGTCTGGAGAGACTGAGGCAAGAGGTGCCAGAGGACTTGTTCCACGGGGCGGCCTGGGCTGTCCCGTCTGTCCTGCCCCAGCATTGAGGCCACCACAGACAATGGCTGTGGAAAGGTGGCAGCCTGGGAGAGGCCGGCCCTGACAGGAAGTGAGCCCACCTACTAGTTGGCAGTGCCCTGGGAGCTAGGGTGACAGGATGACTGGTAAATGGTGTTGGGTGTCGCTGTGCTGTTGAGGGCTCAGGGCGGCACTTGACCGATTTCACCCTGCAGGATTGGTGCCTGGATGCAGAAGAGTCACAGCCCCTAAGCCTGGAGTTGCTGCCCAGGTGTGGCACCCCTTGCCTTCCTGTGAGTACCTGCCTGAGTGGCCTGGCCAGGTGTACACACATGCCAGCAGCCTCCTAGGCTTCTCTTGCCCACTGGACACCTTCCACCCCATCTTCCAAGGGCACAGCCAGACTGGTGTGCCCTGCATTGTGAGGCAATAGGCAGTGTGGACACCTGGGCCTGTATGAGCAGATGCCCGCTGGGACCTGGCTACACCACCCAAACTGCAGGAAGTGGGAGGCTTGGCAGCTTCCAACTCCTGCCCTTTATTGCCTCTCACTGCTTCCTGAGGCCAGTGTGGCTGGCCCAGGCCCCTTGGTGCTGGGACAGTGGACCAGCAGTGACTCACCTGCTCGAGCACAGGGATACCCTATCTGCCCGTGCCTCCAGCCCACTTCCACCTGGCCAGCAGGCTGACCTGGCCCAGCTCCTAGCCTTCCCCTTCCCCTCCGTGCTACACTCTCCAGTACCATCCCCACTTAAGGGCTTCGCTCAGCAGTCCCTGGAAACCCCACCCCTCCCTTAACCCAGGCTGGCAGCGCTAAGGCACTTCCACCTCTCATCCTCTCATATCTGGCCAAGGCTGGGAGGCCCTCAAGGCCGAGCACTCTCTCTGTGGCCACACACTCAGCCCAGCTGGGCTTTCCCCTGCTCTATGACCCAGCCCTCCCATCCGCAGAGGGCCCCACTGCCCATGCTGTAGGGTCCTGCCTGCCTCACTGTGCAGCCCTTACTCACCCTGTTGTTACCTGGGTCCCACATAGGTGGGGACCTGCCCTCTCCTGTATGCCTGCAACTTTGGGCACCCCATCTTTGCCTGGCCAGCTCCTCCTCCAGGAAGACTTCCTGGGCTGACCCAGCACGCCTCCAGCCCAGGACTGCTGAGGCTCTTTCGGGTCTCCTCACTGTGGATGTCAGTATTCTGTCTCTGAGCTTTATTGACCATCAGCAGGGACCTGGGCTATGCTGCCCACCAGCAGAGCTGGCCCCACCCTCACACCAGCAAGCGTGCAGACACTAGAATGGGAGATGAAGTTGGGGAAGGGCAGACAAGGCCCAGAAGGCTCCCCTTGGGCTGACCTGGGGAGTGCCTCATTCAGGTGCTGCCCAAATGGCAGAGGGCTGCAGGTCGGCTCCTGCCTAAAGGGAATGCCTCCCCACCCCGTGCCCCCTTCCTTGAGCAAGTTGTTGCAGGATCTGGACCCCGCCCCCATACCTGTCCCTGCTCCCAGCCCACATGGAGTGCAGAGGGGAGAGCAGCACCTTTGCTTCTGAGGGCTGGCCTCACCTCCCTCAGCCCTCCAGCTTCTCCCTAGCTACCTGCTAGGGTTTTCGGGGACAGAGGGCACTTAACACACCATGCTTCCCACGTACTTCCCTGTCTGCTGGGATTCTCCACGTGTCCATGGATCTGTGTGTACAGCAGCATAGTTTAGAACCTGTCTCCCCTCCAAGACGTGTGTGGGAGGGTGAGGGCCTAGCTACCTCCTCCACGATCCTGGACTCAGAGAAAGCGCTTGGCTGAGGTTTTGTTCATATGCTCTCTTGTGCAATGAATAATTCATGAATGAATGAAAGAGACACGTGTGGCTGGAGGGGATGTTCTGGTCAGGGGCTTTTGGGACAGGGAGCGTGAAGGCAGCTAGGCCTCAGGGTGCCCCAGGGAGGGTGGCAGTCCACTCTATCCTGCCAGGTCAGAGTCCAGGAACCACAGGTTATGGAAACTAATATTGTCTCCATGATCCCCAGGGTCACTACTTCACAAGTGCACACGTGTCACATGCATAGCTCAGGGAAAACTTGAGCGAATCATCCAGCTGCATCTGCTGTTGTCATTGCTTGTGGAGATGGCATAGCTAAGCAACATGTACCATTAGCTTTGCCGGAGAGAACACCACTGAGCACAATCCACGATGGGGTCATACCCTTCTGTTGTTCAGGAATTGACAGTTCTGCCAGCTGAAGCCACCAGCCACTCCCCTGGGCGGCACAGGTGCCGGTGGTTAACCCCTCCACCCTGGAGCACACCAAGACTTTTCTCTGGGCCTCACCCCGTGAATAATGCACACTGCCCTGCCCACCCTCCGGCCCTGAACCCACCTCCACCTACCAGAGTCTGACCTATATCCTCCCACCCAGGGACATCCCTGCAGCAGCCAGCTGGGCTCCACCAGGCTGAAGCTGTGGGCAGAGGCCATGACACCTGTCCCTTTGGGATGGGCCAGGTAGCCAGGCCAGGTTAGAGTCCAGGCCTCAACAAGGCAGGTGCCTGGCATTGTTGTTCACCATAAACTCCAAATTGAGAGAAGCAGTTACTCAGCTGGGCTGCTGCAAAGGCCCCATGGCTACCAAAGGACTCCCCACATCACCTGGCAGAGCAGGCACTACCTCTCATCCACCAGATATGACCAGGCCTCCTGCCTGAATCTCTGCCCAGCTGGGCCTGGCAGGCTTCCATGTGAGCAGTGGGACTGGGGAGTTGCAGGTACTCCATCAACCAGGGCCCTTTGGAGCTGCCCTGGGAGGGCCCCTATTCCACCATGACTCCTCCCTAGCAGGTAGTATGTGAGGGCCCTGTAGAAAGAGGATCAGGAAGGGCCAGCATCAGGATCGAGAGGACTGAGGTGGGGTCAACAGCTGAGATCAGGGTTGGGTCCACCAGTCCAGGGCCCTGGCCCTTGTGGGTCTCAGCCAGGCCCATTGTGTGGAGACAATGGCTTCCTGAGCCAGGTTCCTCTCCCGCAGGAAAACCATAAAGAGCTTGCCTTTGCCACCGCCCATGGCCCCTTTGAAGGCCTGGACAGGCTGCAGGCACCACTATAGCCTTGGAGCCAACCCCTGGCCCCACCCTTGCCAGCCTGGCCCAGCTCAGGCCTCCCCTGGGACCAGCAGCCCCTCCAGGCACGTAGTACAGGATGCAGGGACAGTGGGCCACAGCACAGGAGCTCAGCAAACATGCAGAGCCTGGAAACCCCTCCAGGCTCACCATGGGTCCCTCTCAGTGTCCAAGGAGCAAGGTCACCCTGCAGTGCAAAAACTAAGGGAATGCAGAAGGCACTGGTCATCAAGTGGGTGCCCCTGGTCTTGGGGAGGGGTAGTGTGCAAAGCCTGAAGCTAAAAGGGTCATCTGTCCTCGGGCTGGTCCTGGATGCCATCTGCTGGCCTGGGGCATGATGGGGCCAGTTGTACAGTGGGGTGCAGTATTGGGGGCTCCAAGGTCATGGGTCCAGCAGAGGAGGTGGGGCCCTGACAAAGCCCTGGTGGTCGTCTTCAGGTCCCTCCCTCCTGACAGGTACCAAGGGGTGTCCCTTGACTGAGGCTAAGTCCAGCCCACCAGGGGGCACACATCTCAACCACCAGTCCACTGCACTTGCTTCTCCCAGCCATCTGAGAGATGCCAGTGCTCAGCATCTGCTGGTCTCTGTGGACTGCCACAGAAACGGGCAGGAGCCCCCCTCCCCTGGAAGGGCCTGGTACCTTGCCACACCTCCTAGAGGCTGGGAGGAGAAAGGTGCCAGACTCAAACACTCTTCCCCTGGGCAGCAAGCACAGACCCAGGCCAGCCAGGGACAGAAGAGTCCCCAGAAACAGGCCAAGAGGGCAGCAAAAGGGCCTAGCAGAGGCCTGGTGTCCGGAGCAGTGCACACATGGACTGGGAGATGGGTGGGTGGAGTCGCAAGAGGACATGAGGGAGCTAAGTGGGAGTATGCACACAGGAACATAGGTGTGCATGAACAGCAGGATGAAGAGCAGGATCTCCTGCTGTGCCTACCTGGGGGCATGTGGGGGCCAGCAACGACTTGCTGCGGTGAGGTCAGCCCTCCAGGAGGCTCAGGCTCCGGCTGTCTGCCGGGGGCACATGCATGTGCTTGTGGGTGCACATGCTCACATGCAAACTCCTGCCAGCCTGCCCAAGGGAGCAAGAGCTCTGCCCAGGAGTAGGCCTGCTGTCCCTGGCCAAGGCCATACCCCCGGGGCCCACTTCCCCAAAGACGCTTCAGGACAGGTGCCTGGGCAGCTGCTTCCTGCTGGGGGACCTCTGTAGCCTCACCTGTGAGACCAGAAGACAGGAGGAGACCCCGAGTCAGTATCACTGCTGCTTATCTAGGCCAGAGCAAGCAATAAATG